GGAGACTTCTTCCTGAGAAGCTGCCAAACCAGGAAGCAGGAAGACAACCAGGAACACCCCAGGCTGCTGGCTGCAGAAGCAGAAACATTCAAGGTCAGCCGGTTAGGTTTGTGGCCGCAGAGTCCAATGAATCTAAGGTGGGCACGTTAGATAATGGGCTGCTGATGGCTCCCAGGATTGGCAGGCAGGTTACTGGGGCAATGGTTCAAGCGCCATGAACCAGAGGTCTATGAGCCAATTACAGGATGCAGACCCAGCAAGAAGCCAACAAGTTCTCCACAGCATTTACCTATAGTTGAAGTAGCCCACCTCTCCAATGACACTTCATCAGGACTGTAATCTGAGTAAGGGGGGTCGGGAGTGGGGGCAGAGTGGGTGTGTTCCATTTCTTAGAACAAATTGACTGCTGACAGTTGTTCCCATCCTGAAGCTGTTGACACTGCTGTAGTTTACTTCGTGGGAGATTTCTAGGCCTCAACTGGCAAACCACGGGAAATCCTGCACAGGTCAAGTTCACTCAAGCTTAATGGTCACACAATGAACTAGATCTGCTGTACATTGATAGGGGAGGCTTTATGGCCACCTACCTTGAGTCAATTCCAATTCATAAGTTTCCTGTAGTACAGAGTGGAACCACCCACTAGGGTCCTAGAGGCTAAACATCTCTAGGGAAGTCAATGACCACATGTGTCTCCTGCAGACCAGTGGTGGGGATCAAGCAGGCAACCTTTTAGTTAACAACCCACAACGTAACCCCTACAGCAGCAAGGATCCTCTTGTGCTTCCTATGTACTGCTATTTTAGGAGAATAATATTGCCTTCTTTCATTTAATGTAGTAAGAACTAACTCCGAAGAGAAACACTGTTTTCAGATCAGAGTGAACCGGTAGTTTGGAAACATGGCCACATCTTCCCCTTGACTTTTAACGGCCTTTGTGCCCCCAGGTTACAAGAACTGCAACATACAGAGGCATTAGGAGGGAGTGAGATACACTAATCTCCTTAACCTCATTCGTTTATTTATTATATTTTCATACGTCCTATTTTTTGTTCACTTAATAATTTTGCAAGGTAGCAGTGAAATATTGTCCTCAGTAGTTAATTAATTAGCTCTGTATACTTTCTGAAGCCAACTGAAACATTATTTCATTATAAATGACTAAAATAAAGTGATTGTTTCAAGTGACAAGTTAGGCTGAAACAACACATGAACCATTACGTTCCACCATTATTTTTGACTTCATGCACAAATATTTCAATAATGAATTTAGCTCTCAATTAAATATATCAGTAATGTCAATCTAACAAATCAGCATATTACAGTATAAAACCATAATTACAGAAATTACCATTTCATTAAAAAGGCATATATGTAAAATTAAGGAATGTGCTATAAAAAAAAGATACCGCACAGCTAATTTATAATCCCTTACTTTTTTTTTGGAAAACTGAGGAAATATCTCAATGAAAAGTTCTACCGTGCAAGGCCAGTTACACATACAGTTTAGTATTCGTCAGTATTCTCATGCCTCGCTTACTAGAGATTGACCTCATCAAAGCCATCAAAACCTCCAGGAGAAATCACAGGGACAGCTGAAAGCCAGAAATAAAATTGTCAGTGAAATAGATCCCAAGTCATTCAAGTAATTTAAAAGAAAATCTTAGAAACTTAACCCCTACCTTACATCTGCTAGATCATTCAATAGCAAGCTCATTTATTTTGGCTGTAAAACTAGCAAGGTTTGTGTTGGAATACATTTGCTGATTAGTTCTGGTGAGTGAAATGGTTATTTTCCCTACATCATGTAATATTGCCATAGACTATTTAGGCATTTTCTAAGGAAATGCTGCTTTATGCACAGGATCCCGTCCGTCCGGGGTGTTTCCGAGGATGTCAGATAGCTTTGTCAGTGCAGACACAAAGTACATGATCAGCTATCACTGAGTGTTTAAAGAGTCTGTGCCTTGAATTCAGCTACCAGACTGTTAAACTACAAGAGGTGCCTGCCTCATCTTCCTTGCTTTTCATGGCATATCAACTCAGATGAATTTGAATACATGAAGTGGACTTGGTGTGTGCGTGCAATGGCAAGAAAATGACGATAATTACCCAAACTGGAAAATTTCATTGGATGTGAATAGATGTTCAGCTACATAGTAATTATACGTGTATTGTGGGGAGTGGAGCTCTAGTAGCATAAATTCAAAGAAAGCAAGCTCTATTGCACTAAAAATAAACCAAAAGAGTTTGTTGAACGCTCAACAGAAAAATCGCTTAGTTAAGTTGAATAGAAATAAACTTACATCTTTTTAATCTTTACATTCATTTACATACATACCCACGTTATATGGAAAATTATGAAAATAACCCCATTTTACTCTAAATGCCTTTACTGTGTTGGTACTGTCTAGGCAAGCTCTGGTGGTACAGCCAGAGCTTTTCTTAGAGGCAAGAACAGGGATACTTCACCTTCCATACTTTGGACATGTCAGGAGAGATCAATCCCCGTAGAGGACATCATGCTTGGAAAGGGGAGGGGCAGCGTTCAGCCAGATGGATTGACCCAGTGGCTGGACAATTGCTAGGATGGGGCAGACTGCCCAGTGTTTCCTTCTGGTGGTTCTCCATAGGGTCACTAAGAGTTGGAAGCGATTCGGTGACATCTAACGACAACACATGGAGTCCACGTCTGGACCTGGTGTTGTGCATTTGCTGCTCACTATAGGGTCAGCAGCTTGAACTTGAGGCAAAGACGAAGTTTTCAACTCCTTTCAGATTTACAGGCTCAGAAACCCTAAGGGGTAGTTATACTCTCGCCTCTATAGTCCTTAGGAGTTGGGACTGAATTTGATGACAACGGGTTTGGTGTAGGTTTGAGCCAGCTTTTTCATGGACATTTTATTTTTCTTTCTTCCACTTTCATGTTCACAGTGAACATCAATGGATGCTTTCCCCTCCTTTCCAATATTAGCTGCTTTTTTATTTTGTTTTCCTAATTTATTGGCAAAGTGTTTTCCAGTCTTTTATAATATACTTTCTTTCCTCCATATTCTCTGTTTTTCTTTTCTTCAGTGTTTAGGATGAGGGAATATAATGTTTCTCCAAATGAGCAATACTGCCCCCTGGGGATGCTGGAAGTCCTGGGCAGGCTGAAAAGCAGGTAAATAACTGTGTGTGCTGGATTATAGGCTGCAGTCCAAAAAGGTTTCATTCCCAGAGGGTTGCTGAATCTTCTTTGCCTGGAAAGGTGGCAGTATGCAAAATAATTTTGGGAGCCTGTGGTTTCGAGCAATCCAATTTAGCAGTGAAAACAATGGCTCTGGCGAGGATGGACGCAATGAAGAGCACGAGTAGATGCTTGAAAGGAGCAGGGAGCTGGGATTAGGGAGGAAGCGGCTGGTGGACAGCAAGGTCTAGGTTGACGGTGAGGGGTGATCGGCTGTTACAGCCACGTGCCTTCCAAATGCCAACAACCAACTCAGTGCTCTTGAGCCCGTTCCAACTCAGAGCAACCCTGTGGGACACAGGGGGACTGCCTTTGTGGGTTCCGGAGACTGTAGCTTACTCTTTACAGCAGTAAAAAGCCTCGTTTTTTTCACCCAGAGCGACTGGTGGTTTCTAACTGTTGACCTTGTGGTTAGCAGCCTAACGCATACCCGCTATACCATGGAGGCTCCTTGCAGTGTGCCTCAGGACAGGTTCATATGCTTCTTTCTCAGTTCCCTTTTCTGATTAAGGAAGAAGATGAACGTTGAGGATTCCCAGCTCTAGAATCACATGATCTACTGAGGAGGGGTGACTGTGTATGAACGATACAGTGTGGTCAGGCACTTGCTTTGCCTGTGGTTTAGCTGGTTTTCTCTCATTGCTCCCTGTCTCTCAACAGGGAGGCTGAGAGACAGCCTAGTGAACACTAGTTGGATATGGTAATATTGACAGCTTGTTGAGAATGCAAAATCAATAATTACTCTAAGTTACAGCGATGGAAGTTAGAGGACAATCCTGGAACTCTCGTGAAATGATAATGTTATTTTTCAGGGTAACTCTATATGCTAGAGCCCCTTTTTAACAGATTGACAACTATGACTATATCTACAATAGGAGGCATTGCTGAAGTTACTTTTTTGTACTCTCTGATCAAACAGATTGTTAGACCACATGTATGTGTACTATAACATGTGATATATATATATATCACACACAAAATCAATGATTGCACCCTCATGTACATTACAGAGTGCAGCTATTAAACATTCCATCAGGAAATTGCAAACTGCAGCTGTAACAGTTCTTTATTGTAGGAAGGCCCTTGTTTCTCTAGCACTTACTAGGAAGTTAGCACCAGCCTGTAAAATCCTCCATGCCAGGTTTCATAGTAACCTCACTAACACGGAGCTTGAAGGAAACCATTTGGTGGGGGACAGTGCAGAGGGTGAGCATAATGAATGAAAACCAACTGTTCTCATGCCACGGCGACCCTCTGTCCTCTCCATTATTGACATCTAGCCTAGATGACCCTAATTCCCCCCAAAGGTCTTCTGCCTCAAGTTTTGGAAATAATGTTTGTATTACCATAGCCTTTAACTCTGTTTAAAATAGAAATATATGTAAACCGATCACATTTTCTTTTAAGGTGTGTTTGGAATTACTTGAAAGGTGTAGCAGGGAGACGCTGTTCAAAAGTTTATCCCTGGTGAAATTCATCTCCAAAGAGAGGACTTGGAGAGTCCTAAAAGAGAGAGGGCGGAGGAGACAGATGGTGTTTGTAGTATGTATAGAACTTCAGCACCAACTTAAAAACAGAAGGACCAAGGGCTTGGCAGTGTCCCCAAAGTGAACTGGCTGCCATTGATTGGTATGAATCACTTTCTCCTTCTCCCGCCTGAACCTCGCCCACCATCCACACTCCTGAAGTGCCAGCAAATCTGCAATTGACCTTCTCATCACTCTGTGCCGAGAGCCTACTATGGTGTTTCTGATCCTATCAATTTCTCTCCAGACAGAGCTTTTTGTACACGCCTTCAAGGATCAGCTGGTCCGGAGCTCTCTTTTGGCACTCTACAATGCCAGGCCAGGTGGCGTCCTTAAGAAGCCACCATCTCCTCAAAGACTCGTGGAGGAGGGCAGGCCCCAGGACCAGCCCCCACCAATAAGAAGGCAGGACTCCATACCCCATCATTCAGACTACGATGAAGAAGAGTGGGTAAGTCTCTGACATACCATCTGCCTGTCAATGTTTGGCCTGACAGTACAAATCCGAAGAACTCTCTGATTGCTTAAAATCAACACATAGTTTGGAAAAGTCATAAGACATATTTTGGGATAAATATTTTTCCTTGTTGGTGTTAGGGTTGGTTCCAACTGATGGAAACACTATGAACAAAAGGTCAAAACACAGCCCCATCCGGCACCATCCTCATAGTCCTGGTTGTAGTCGCTGTGTCAATCCATTTCACCGAGGGTCCTCCTTAGGGGCTAATTTTAATTGGAAGCTGTATTCCCAGTAAAGACTTGCCATCAAATAAATCACCTGTGCAACCAACAATGTGATCAAATCAAAATGTTATTGCAGATGATTAAAATATTGATAGAAGTATCTGGAAAAAATAGCTAATAAACAAAATTCAAAGAAAGAAGCAAGAGTTATTATAGGAATTCTGCCTTGAGTGCCATTCAACTAACTCTGACTCATCAATAGCAATAAAATGTTGCCTGGCCCTGCATCATCCTCACAATTGCAGGCATTCTGGTCCCTCATGGTTTTTGTGTTAATCTATCTCACTGAGGGTGTCCCTCTCATTTTAGGACCCTCTGCTTCACCCATCATGACGTACTTCTCTAGTGATTGGTTTCTCTTGATGAGGTGTCTAGAAGCAAGTGAGAACTAGTGTGATGTATGCTGTTTTCACGGATTCATTTTCAGAAGTAGACCTCCAGGCATTTCCTCCTACTACATCCTCGTGTAGAAGCTTGGCTGCAACTTTCCTTCCAAGAGTGACCACATTGGTATTTGAGAGAGCAGTGTGGTATTTCACAGTAAAACACAATCCACCACAATATGACAAACTGAGAGTTGAGTGGTGAATACAACACTATTTGGACAGAATAGAAAAGGGAGGGGGCTAGGATTGAATCAATGGACATTAATTATCCATGAGGCATCCAATGTATATGCAGATCATTATCATATAAGAGCTTCAAAAAGTCCTTAGAAAATGGAATTAAAAGATAATGGAATGAACTTTCTAATATTTCCATGAGTTTTTTTTTAAGTTCTTCATATGTTTACCAACAACAAACCAATTGAGCTAGTTGTCTTAACTGTTAAATACTTAGTGAACAATTGATTTTCTGATTCAAAAAGTAATATACTTAAAGTCCCAGTCCTGTTTTTTAAAAAGGCTGTGTAAAGGACTGTCAATTGATGCCTTTGCTGTCTTTTGGTAAATCGCCTGTCACAGGAAAGAACTGGGTTTCAAGACGTAAATGCTGAATAAGTGTTTGCTGTTGCTGATTAAGATTGCCTTTTCCTCACTGAAGTGTTTTCAAAAGAGCAAACCTAATATTTCTCCCTTTTGCCTTTGCCTTCTTCCCCAATTTATTCACAGCTCTAAGGCGGGCACACCTCTTAACCTCTCTGAAGTTCAATTTTCTGAACTGCAGAATGAAAATCACAGCACTTGTTCTTAGTTCATAGAGTGGTCATGGGATAAAAGATTTGCTCAGGTGGTGATACTTCATGGCCTGCAAAGACCTGGACAAATGCATTAGATTACTTTAGCCTCATTGCTGTGTGTTTGATGAGTTAGAAGTAGCAATAGGAAAGAAGTTATGTTTCATTTAACTATATATATATTAGCCTATTGACAAATGATTACTTTTTATATTGAATCAAGTGGTGATTTTAGAATGGAGTTCTTTTTGTTTTCATCACTTTCCCCTCACTCTGTTATGCTAAAAACTCACCCGCACCTAACTCACATTCCTTCTCAACACTATCTTTTATTATGCCCTTTTATTTAGAAAAGGATTGAGACATTTTAGACTGCAGGGCACTCCTTACTTCCTGCTCCGAATCTGTTGACTTTAGATGCTGTCTAGTGGGTTTCGATGTAGCGATTCATATAAACAACAAAACAAAGTGTTGCCTGGGCCTATGTCATCTCCGTGATCACACATAGCTCAATGTCTGTTTCTTTGTGCTGCTGTAACAGAAATAGCACAGGTCAGTGCCTTTAATAGAAATTAATTTTCTCAGTTCAGAAGATTCAAAGTCCAAGTTTAGCACATCAGCTCTAAGGGAAGGCTCTCTCTGTTGGCTCGAGAGGAAGGTCTTTGTCCATTTCCTTGGCATATTATCAAATGTGCAATGAATGAGATGAAGCAAAATATGGATGAAGAATTGAAGGTAAAGCTAATGCTCTGCTCTATAAACCTTTACCTAGTTCACTCCAAAAAACAGGGGAAAAGGTGATTGGCTTAAAATATACCTTACATTGATGGTGTGCTCACCTCCATGATACAATCACTGAAGACAAATGGGTGCATAAGCAAATGTGGCGAAGAAACTTGATGGTGCCCAGCTATCAAAAGATATAGCATCTGGGGTCTTAAAGGCTTGAAGGTAATCAAGCGGCCATCTAGTTCAGAAGCAACAAAGCCCACATGGAAGAAACACACCAGCCTGTGTGATCACGAGGTGTTGAAGGGATCAGGTATAAGGCATCATCAGAACAAAAAATCTTATCATAGTGAATGAGGTGGGGAGTGTGGAGTGGAGACCCAAAGCCCATTTGTAGGCCACTGGACATCCCCTTACAGAATGGTCTCAGGGAGGAGACAGCCAGTCAGGGTGCAATGTAGCAACGATGAAGAACACAACTTTCCTCTAGTTCCTAAATGCTTCCTCCACCCCTCACCCCCTATCATGGTCCCATTTCTGCCTTGAAAATCTGGCTAGACCAGAGGATGTACACTGGTACAGCTAGGAAATGGAAACACAGGGAATCCAGAGAAGATGATCCCTTCAAGACCAGTGGTGTGAGCGGCAATACTGGGAGGGTAAAGGGAGGGTGGGTTGGAAAGGGGGAACCGATTACAAGGATCAACATGTAACCTCCTCCCCGGGTACGGACAATAGAAAAGTGGGTGAAGGGAGACGTCAGACAGGGCAAGATATGACAAAATAATAATTTATAAATTATCAAGGGTTCATGAGGGAGGGGGGACGGGAAGCAGGGAGGGAGGGGAAAATGAGGACCTGATGCCAGGGGTTTAAGTGGAGAGCAAATATTTTGAGAATGATGAGGGCAATGAATGTACAAATGTGCTTTACACAATTGATGTACATATGGATTGTGATGAGTTGTATAAGCCCCTAATAAAATGATTTTTTTAAAAAGGACAGTAAAGAAAGAAAAAAAATATATACCTTACATTGACATGGCCTCATCATCAAAATAAAAGAAAGGCCTGTCTCCTATGAGATTGTATTCACAGTAATAGGTGTTTAGGGTTACAGCACATTTATTCTGACAGGGGAAGGGAACAAAGTAACATTTTACTTTCAGTCTATTATTGTTAAGTTCTATCAATTCTACGTAGAACAGAATAAAATATCAACTGGTCCTGTACCATCCTCACAATTGTTATAGTTGAGCCCGCTGTTGAAGCCGATGTGTCCATCCATCTCCTTGAGGATCTTCCTCTTTTGTCCTGCCCTGCCGTTTTACTAAGCACAATATCTTTTTCCAAAATCTGGCCTATTCTGACAATGTGAGATGAAGTCTCACCCTCCTTGTGTCTAAGGAGCATCCTGTATGCACTTCTTCCAAGACAGATTTTTTTTGGGTTGTTTTTCTTGAAGTCCACGGCACTTTCTATATTCCTTGCCAGGACCCAAATAAAAGTGCATGGAATCTTCTTTGCTCTTCCTTACTCATTGTCCAACTTTCATATCATAGGATGTGATTGAAAAGACCTTGGCTTGGGTCAAGGATACCTAGGCCTCAATCCTCGCTCTTCAACGCTTTAACGAGTTTGTGCGGTAGTTGTGCCTAATGCGGTACATCATTTGGTTTCTCAGCTGCTGATTCCATGAGCACGCATTGATTGTGGATCCAAGCAAAATGAAATACTTGACAACTTCAATCTTCTCTCCATTTATCATGAGTTTTCCAGTTTTGAGATTTTGTTTTTCTTTAAATTGAGTTGTAATCCATACTGAAGACTGCAGTTCTTGATCTTCATCAGTAAGTACTTTCAGTCTTAGGGATATCCAAGGTTGTTAATCAGCCCTCCTCCAGCCCTAACATATTGGATTATTTGCTCACCACACAGATTGAATAAGCATGACCAGGCAGTATTCCCTTGTTCTGTTTAAACAACTGCTCCTTGGTCCACATACAGGTAACTGCGTGAGCACAATTAGGTGTTCTGGAATTCTCATTCTTCCCAGTGTTATTCCTTGTTACTATCCACACAATCTAATGCCTTTGCAGAGTTAGTACAACACAAGTAAACACATTTCTGATATTCTAAGCTTTCAGACAGGGTCCACCTGATGGCAAGTGTGATATCACTCACACCCTACTCTCCTCTGACTCTTGCTTGACTTTCTAGTAGTTCCCTACTAATGTACCATTGCAGCTGGTTTTGAATGATCTTCAGCAAAATTTTACTCGCATCTGATATTAATGATATTGTTCAAGAATTTCCACATTCTCTTGGGTTACTTCTCAGGGCTAGTGATGGATAAACACATTTTATCATATAGTTGAAAACTGTTGAGATAAAAGTTAGAGACAGATGGTCAAAGATCTCTTACTCACTGACATCAATCCATTCTGACTCAGAGCCTCTGTTAATATGACCTCAACTCAAATTCTTATGGTATTTTAAATAAGGCACCTCCTTTTGATGGCTCAAGAAAGAAGTGAGTTGGAAATGTGTCCTTAGTTGAACAAGTACAGCCTGAACTATCGAATGCAATGGGCCTTTTGGGACTCATTACAAAAAGTTTCCTAGTTTCCTCAAATATTGATAATAAACTCCTTCACCCATCTTTCTCAGTGCCCATTAGAAATCCTCACTGCCTTCCTCCGCACCTCTTGTCCATCTCTTTTTTAACAGTTGATCTTACACTACAGCTTAATAAACAAACAAGCAAATCCTGAGGATTTCATGCTGCCTCTCCTGTCTGCT